CATGAAGTTCAAAGTTCAGGGAGTCTCGGGTTATGGGGCTGGGGGATTTAGCGTTCAAGTGTGAGGCACACGCTTTTGCGAACATAGTTGAGGGGCATCGTCAGAGGTGGGTGCTACTACTTACCAGGTCCCGCGGTGTTCAATCTGTGTAAGAAATCCAGTAATTTACGAGAGATGCTTTTTTTTGGATGGCTCCTTTTAGTTTCAGGCTGATCCTGCTCTGGTCCCTGGTGTCCCAATACGGGTATTAAAAGCCTGGCCTTCACTACCCATACAGCAACGCAGCTGCCCACCTGGAGGAGCTTTGTGACAGCGATGATGACCGTGTACCTCGTCGGTCTCTAGCTGGTCTAAGGTTGAACCCATGGGCCCCTAGTATGGGCCCTTAACCCTGGGACCCTTATATACCTACTATATACCCTATATGTACCCTTAAGGGACCCTAGAACCCACTAAGGGCCCATATTAGGGGCCCATACTTCTGACCTTGGAGCTGGGGAGCAACGAACCGACCGAAGGCCTAGGGAATCTTCCATGGTCATGAAAACAGAAGACCAGAAAGCTGCACCTAAGCTTTTAACCCTAAGCCCTAGACCGTAAACCCCAAACCCCTAAACCCTTAACCCCTAAACCCTAAGTATGGTTTAGTTTAACCTAGTGTAAGAATGGCAGTAACAATGTAGTACAATGTAGCACCTCCATCCGATCCGAAATGGATCTGAGCAGGGAAATCCCACCGTGCTCTTGGCGGCGCCAAGCAGGAAACTGGTCCGGCACACCGCAGCAAACAAAGCTCACATTTAAACGTACACGGTCTCAGCCCCCGGCTGACTCCGCTTCAGAACCTGAGTCAGAGAGGAGGAGTTTAGGGTTCAGGGTTTAGGGTTTAGGTTTTAGGGTTTAGGGTTTAGGGTTTAGGGTTTAGGGTTTAGGGTTTAGGTTTTAGGGTTTAAGGTTTAGGGTTTAGGGTTTGCACACTACTCTGGGGGTTGCGATCCTTGTGGCAGGTGGGACGTCTGCAGAAACCTTGTAATTCCTACGATGTGGATCCGATGCTCTGTTCTGTATGCGCGGTAGACATGACTCTTGGTTCGCAGCTTCAGGCTTCAATGAATGGAGCCCCAGCCCAGCTGCAGGGTTCTGGGTTCAGGGTTTAGGGCTGTGGCTGCATCTCACCCACTCCAGCCCCAACACCCTCAAGCCGCAAATGCCTCAAACCCCGAAACCCTAAACCCGAAGCCATAATCAACCCTAAACCCTCAACCCTAAACCCTAATCAAGCCTGAACCCTAAACCCAAAACTCCAAAACCCCAAACACTTATCAACGCTGAAGCCCAGAAGCCCGAAACCGCAAAGGCATCTAGGACCCAAAAGCACCCCCAATTAGGGTTTAGGGTTTAGGGTTGTAACACGCAACAAACACAAAAGCACCAAATACAAAAGCATAAACAAATATAAGGACATCAAGAAACTGACAACAAACATAAACAAATACAAATAGATGCATCACATATATATATATATATATGATATACATATGTTTATGTAAGTCTTTTGTTTATTCATTTATTTACATGCATGCATACAGAAATACAGACATACATACATATGAGTTACATATGTGTGTATATCTATATGTACATACATATATAACTATATACCCTAAACCCTAAACCCTAAACCCCAAACCTTAATTCCTAAACCCTAAACTATATATACATATATGAGCCGCTGCGTTTATTTGAGGCTTAGGCTACTTGCGGTATCTCGAAGCGGTGCCCCTGCTCGTTTCATCATATTAAGTACTGGCAGAAAAACTGGATCTCGTTCAAGTATCGTTAGTAGCAGCTCTGATCATGAACGAACCTGATCTCGTTTTATGCAGTGCCCATATCTCGTTCCCCTCTTAGAGCGAGTTCGGACCGAAAAACAAACGCAAGGAGCCATCTCGTTTCAACAGAGCACTGTATTGACCCTAAACCCTAAACCCTAAACCCTAAACCCTATATGTACGTCTCGATTCCCAGGGGCTTCCGAGGCTTCCTTGCGCCGGGCCCCCGCGCGGCCAAGAGCCGGGCCAGCTCGCGGCTCCTTTGAAAGTCCTGGGAAAAAGCGGGCGCCGCTTGGGTGGGTTTAGGGTTTAGGGTTTAGGGTCTAAGGTTCTTAATCTTGATATTACTACTACTCAATACAATACGAATGCTAATACTGATACTAAGACTAGTGCCACTACTATTTGTAGTATTACTACTACTACTACTACTACTACTACTACTACTACTACTACTACTTCCTGCTACTACTACTACTACTACTACTACTACTACTATTCTTGTTAGCCCTGGAAAAAGCGGTGGGTTTTAAGGGTTTAGGGGTCAGGGTTTAAGGGGGTTGAGGAGTTTAGGGGTTTAGGGTTTCGGGATTTAGGGGGTTTGGGGGTTTAGGGCTTCGGGATTTAGGAGATTTAGGGGTTCAGGGTTTAGGGGTTTCTAGGGTCTAGGTTTAGGGTTTAGGGTCTAGGGGTTTAGGGGTTTAGGATTTAGGGCTTAGGGTTGAGGGGTTTAGGGGTATAGGGTTTAGGGTTTAGGGGTGGAGATTCTGACCAGGGTCTATGTGGCTTATCAGGCGTCTAGTTTAGGGTTTAGGGTTTAGGATCCAGAGCTGGATTAGCCTTTGCCCACAAAGACGTTGACAAACTAGTTGCTTGTTGCCTTTGCTAGTTGTGACGAGATGCTACCCAAGAAAATAGACAGGTTGACACGTTGGATACCGCGAGCCTGAAGAACTAAACCCGTTTGAAGCTCTGCAAGAGAAACCCAAGAAGAATCCTCAAACTACGGATTAGGGTTTAGGGTTTGGTTTTAGGGTTCAGGCTTTAGGGTGTAGGGCTTAGGGTTTAGGGCACCCTAAACCCTAAACCCTAAACCCTTAGGGCTTAGGGTTTATGGCACCATGATAAACGCTAAATCAAACAAAAGCTGAGGCTCCTCCCAAAGTGGAGGAGCTGTGGAGTCGATAACGAAGAGCACTGCGTAGTGCGGCAGGTTACCACCTTGGACCCCCACTTTGCAACTTGGAGGTTCATGGGTTCATGGGTAGTTATAAGTGGGGTTATGGGGTTCCTTTAAGGGTTCCTGTAAAGGGTTCTGTAGTAGGGTTTAGGGGTTTCATGGGTAGTTATAAGTGGGGTTGTAAGTAGGCTAACTGTAATTATAACCCATATTAGGGGACTTAAAACTCCACTTATAACCGCCCATGAACCTCCAAGAAGGAGCAGGTGAATAACCCCACTAAACCCTAAACCCTGAACCTTAAACCCTAAACCGTCACTTTGCGGCTACATATTCAAGGGCTTTCAGGTTTCGGGGTTTGGGTTCAGCGTTTAAGCGATGTTTGTGCTTGGGGTTTCGGGATGAGGCTTGAGTGCAGGGCTGAGGGTTGAGGCTTGCGGGGTTAGGGTTTAGGGGTTAGGGTTTAGGGTTTAGGGCCTAGGGTTTAGGGTTTAGGAGTTAGGGTTTAGGGTTTAGGGCTTTCGGGTTTAGTTTCAAGCAAGCCTGAACGAAATTTGGTGCGGGTGCACAGCTCCCCGAAAAAAACTAAATCAAGCAAGCGTTCATGTTCGAGCAATGCCCACCAGCTCCCTATGCTAATACACCAATTGGGCCGACCTCGAACCCAACCCTCAACCCTAATCCCTAAAACCTTCAACCCGAATCCATCCCTGTTGTTGAGGCACTTCGAAGGATGATCCTCATCCACGAAGGAACTGCACTGTAGTGCCTGAGAAATGGTTTAGGCTTTAGGGTCGTCGAGGGAGATCTCCCATGGTTTGCCTTGTCTTGCAATGACCCTTCGTATAGGTTTCATGTAGGGGCCTTACTACTTAGAATAAGGTTTGTGGTGCCTTTTAAGCTTTAATCATAATTACGGAACCCAAAATAGTATAGGTAACTATTAAGGGACTGACATAGAGTCGAAATATGGGCAGTTCTCTAAATTAGGGTCCCCTCTTAGGTCCCCATTATAGTACGGCACCCTTATAAAAAGGACCCTAAAAGGGACCCTAATTTAGAAAACTACCCATATGCTGATCGGTGGAAGGCCTTCCTGCACGCAGAAAGTGACCCAGGGCCTTCTTTTGGCCGGCAGGTCCCTGAAAAGGAAGGGCTCCCAGAGAGCCCAAGACCCCTCAAAGTAAGGAATAGACCTTAAACCATAATATTAATTAAGGAGTATACCTTAAATCATAATATTAATTAAGGAATAGACCTTAAACCATAATATTACTCAAGGCCCCTATAATTTAAGGTTTTATTCCGTCTTTAAGGGGTATTGGGTTCTCTGGGTTTGAACCTGTCATACGTACCTAAGCTGTTCAGTAACCAACTGGGTAAAAGTGTATACTCTTTTGGGTTAGTTCTATTATATTAGGAACCAATACCCAAAAAAGTAAAAAAAAGATACTACTGAACATCCTAGGTAGGGAAGTGCAGGACATCTTGAATCCAGCACCAGCCAGAAAGGCAAAGTGCAATGCTGTAAACGTAGATCTCTGCACATACACAGATGTACATACCCATGCTTAGGAAAGTGTTGCTGTGCCAAGTGTCGTGGAACATCTCCATGTCCGTGACTCCTTCCACTGAACCCCAAACCTTCTGACATTTCTCCTCAGACCACCCCGCGGCTTTGACCTTTCAAACCTTTCTCACTCGCACCCCGAAAGCCGTACACCTATTTCCCACTCCTGAAGCCGAAAACCCTAAACCCCAAACCTAAACCCTAAACCCCAAACCTAACCCTAAACCCTAAACCCTAAACCCCAAACCTAAACCCTAAACCCTAAACCCTAAACCCCAAACCCCAAACCTAAACCCCAAGCCCTAAACCCTAAACCCTAAACCCCAAACCTAAACCCTAACCCTAAACCCTCAACCCTAAACCCTGAACACTAAACCCTAAACCCTGAACCCTAAACCCTAAACCCCAAACCTAAACCCTAGACCCCAAACCTAAACCCCAAGAACTCAAGATCCGCGGGCTTCGCATGACAGTGTGCCCCCGTAAACTCCTTCGCCAGCTTCCGAGCTTCCTTTCCTGGGCTCCCGGTAGGGCGTTTAAGTAGGGAATCGACAGTAAACAAATCAGGTTTCAGTATTGTGGTCACTTAAACTGAACTCCTTAACAAGAACCCAGTTTCCACTGAGGCGAAACTCGTGGAAGTCAAAGCGGGTGCTGACGAAGGAATTGTCAATCACCATCATGCCTGAGCTGTAGCTGCTCATAAGAGGCACCCAAAACTTGCAATAGTTCCTCTTATGCATGTATACGATCACAGCTGGAAAGTATAAAATGGAAATGATGTTCATGAACGGCCTAGACACCCCCAAGATTTCTATGACCACCTGCATTGAACATCTGTGGATCCCATGCCGGAATTCGCAAAGGGCGGTTGGTTCTCTTGTGGACACAAAACGTCCCAACGTAGTCGGCCGCTGAGAAGACGGTTTGGACAGCGTATTCCTGGGCAGAGTTTTCAAGCTTCCAGGGTTGAGGGTTTAGGGATGTTTTTCCCTAGGGGTTTAGGGCGTGTATGAAAAGCTACCTCTAACAAATGCAGGGGGAAGTTGACACGTTTCCAATGTGCCACCTAGATTCGCCCTTTGTGTCGAGCCACATGGTGCTAATCCCGTTTGCCATTTGCTCATGACCTCGAAGTAGCCTCTTCAACCCGTTCGACCGCAAGAATTGGAGGGCGAGATCCCTTCCAAACCTGTATTTGGTTTTGCCGCGAGGAGATGTCGCCCAGCCGTCTCCCTCGTGGGGGTCTGACCATACCATCTCCGTGCCAACACCCTGGCTCAAGCATTGATGGAAGTTCCCCCCTTGGTACGAGCATGCCCTGACAAAACTTGGGGAGATGCCCCCGTGAGTGGCCATGAAGCTCCCCTTGGAGACCGCAACGAAGGGCAGCTTGGAAAATACAAAGTTGAATCCAATCCAGAGGTCAGACCGCTGAGAGTGCGGATTTGTCAAGCGGAACTTGTACTCAACTTCCTTGCTGAAGCCATAACGTTCATTTGTGCGCCGTTGCTCGTGGTTGCCTTGGAGCAGGATTATGCCGGAAGGGCACAATGCTTTGTAGGCGAAAAGGAGCATCACGATCTCTATACTTCGCTCGCCGCGATCCACGTAATCGCCCATGAAGACATACTGTATCTTTGGGTCGCAAATGAAAAGCTTGGATTCGGGAAGAAGGTGAAGGTCTTTCACGTTCACCCTTGTATGGAGGTCACGGAGGAATGCGAGCAAGTTGAACAGCTGTCCATGCAAGTCTCCCAGGACCACAGTTGCCTGCGTGGCCGTCACCGTGCGACTGTAGCCATAGTCGTTCAGCTCCCGTTGGAGCACCTCTCGCTCGAATATCATCAAGAAGGTCGAGATGGAATGATAATCCATTCCAGGCACTTCGCTGTACTTGTCTATCTTCGTCAGTGCCGTCTCCTCCATGCTTTTGATGTACATGGCCGCCGACGCCTTGAGGTTGTAGGTGGAGGTCGAGGTCGACCGGATGGAATGGACGTATCCGATGCAGGCCGCACAGGCCACAGCAAGAAACCTCGACGCCATGGCATCAAAAACTTTAGGTTTTGCAAACAAATGCAAGTAGTAGCAACAGTCAAGCGCATCAAGAGAGCTTGAGACAAATGTGGCAAGAAGGGGCAACCTTAGGCAAACTCTTGGCAGTTCTCAGATGACACCACCTTTCCGATGATTTTATTGCCGAAGCCTCCATGAGTACGAAGGGCAGCACATACCCCATTGCGATAGCATCTCGCAGTGCTAGCTGGCATCTCAAGTTGTGCATTTGCATCATGATTGCATCCCTTGTAGGGAGGACGCAGGGCTGGAAACGCACGACCTTCGCACTTCGCACCTTCAAAGCTGTTGACTGCTGCAGCTCATGATGCTGCAGACATGCTAAGCGGAGGAGGACTAGAACAACTACAAGGGGTTTCCGAAAACCCTAAACCCTGAACCTTAAGGACAAGGCCACCTCCAGGCGTCGCCAAGCACGATGCCAGGCGCCGTCCATCAGGGCTCCCCCAGCCTCCTCGCGAAAGATTTCCGGGGGATTTCAAGGGTTTAGGGTTGAGGGTTTAGGGTTTCGACTCCTCAGCATAATAAGGCGCCTCTCTCTCTATATATATATATATATATATATATATTTGTTCTTTTAGCACTCACTCTCGACAAGCAGGCGAGGCTAAAAACTTGGTACACTTCTCGATTTGTGCGTGTCATCCTTGC